GTTTGGGACTTCATCTCAGCGCGGCCGCCGCCCAGGCGCCGCTGCGCCCGGCTGCTCAGCCACCTACCGGATGGCGGGTGGCCCTTACGGCCCTCACGCCCGTTCGGTCTGCGGCCACGTTGTGGGGTGGCGGTCGCGGGGTTAGCGGCGTTGGACTTCGTCCTTTATCCAGACTGCACCGTACCATCTGAACGGATGGATCTGCCAAGAAAGATGACATCCAAGGCGGCTATGAGGCGATCACAAAGCTTCACCAAGAGCTTCTCCTTCATGGAGCCGGCCGGCCGTTAAGTCGCAACACCGGCTGCCGAGTGCCAACAGCTGCGTGCGCTGGCGCCGACGCGTTGTGGGCCGCGCTGCTGACGCCCAAGCTGCGATATCAACCATCTATGAATAAGTGGCAGCGGTGGCGGCTTGTCAGTTGTTAACGTGTCTTAACAGACGTTGCGAATAGCCCGCGTTGGAATCGCATGGTTGGGAACACAACGCAAGTAAAAATGGGCTTCCTTGATGAACCTACTTTTTAAGCATTGTAGCCTTTGTAATTTTGGATGTTTTGCTGTAGATATTATTTTCTACATATATACTATATAGGCACTCACGTGCTTTAAATCGCGCAATGCAATTGAACCATGGTAAAGACAATGATAAATGAACTGAGAGCTGACATGCCCCATGCTTTGTGTGTGTATAGGTGTGTGTGTGTTTTTTTTTTTTTTTTGGCGAGTCGATAAAAGTGGTTTTGGACACTGGATGAGTTTTTAGGGGTGTGGTGAGGGGGGATGTAATTCCACAGACCTTCTGTCAGATTCACTAATGCAGTAGGTCTGTGCGGTGTTTAGTTATCGGAGCATTCTTTGAAAGTCGTGAATAGGGCCACCGAGTACCTAAAGCCGTGATATTGCCCCACAAAAACTTCTTTTAAATAACCGGGGATAGGTACATGAGCAGAGTAAATGCTTACGAACGCCTATCACAATGCTGAGCGAATAGGAAAATCCATAGATGGAGAATTGTGCCGCGTTACGGGTGCTCGGGCGCAGCCAATCCACCGTTACCCCAGCGGTGACCTTGACCCGCATCGTCTGTCTCGGCTCCAAAGCCAAACCGGCGTGGAATTGGGAGCGTTCGAGCACTCATGGTCCAGCGCAATTCTCCACCTAAATCCATTCCTGATACACATTTGCTTGCTCATAGTCATGTAACCCCGGTAAATTCACCCAACTTTCATATTGGTCGCTCCATAGACAGATGGCCACAGAGATCAACTTAAAAGGCCATTGTTGCATTCATTTAGTGGAGATCATTAAAGAGCCGTGACAGGCCACAAGTCGCGTGACATCATACGTGTAACGACCAATGACGTCGGCCTGCAAAACCCAATGGAAGCGGCTAGCAGCGTGCAATAAAACAGGGCGCTGCTTTCTAAATGTCTGTCGTGCGCCATAAATGAATATATTCTTTGTAGCCTGGCAACTCAGTATCTTTTTTTTTAACTATTGTACTAGTATTTAATAATTTCATAATTTTATAATTGTGCTTACGCTTTATGTTGATATTAGTGATAAATCCTTAGATAAAGTAAATCGATGTGATATTTAATAGAAAAATAGCAAACTAACGCACCATTCATTCGAAAGCTGGGGAACCTACTAAAAAGAACTACTAAAATTCCTGAGGAACCAAAGGATCAAATGGGGATTAAATAGATGCCTGCTATTCCGTCGTGAAAACGGCCACTGTTACTTATAAAAATCGCTGAAAGTTTCAAAGTGATCGTTCAGTCGGTGTAGCTACAGCGAGCCTTCGAACTTTTTCTGAGGAGATGTCACTTGACGTGACCGTGACTTGACCTTGAATGACCGGGATCTGAAATTTTCACAGCGTGTGCGGAGAAGATATAGGAACAGGTGCACTTAAAACCTGAGGGGGGGGCGTAAAAACACCCCCCCCCCTTCCACCCAGCCAGCAATTCGTCCGGGATGCGGTTGGGGACGGTCGGGATAGGCTCCGGATGTCCAGACTTGTCCCTACCGGGTTGGGTAGGCTTGGGTTGTCCCAATCGATACCGGACCTCAGAGGCCGGCGGTAGGGCGACTCAGGATTTCCGGACCGCATGCTTAATCGGTTGGGACGCGATACGGATAGCCCAATCGAATCCCATGTTTAGACAGGCTTGTGATTTACGTTGTTATCCCAACCGATCTGAGAAGGCGCTTCGGGCACCATATCCGGTGGCCCAGAAAGCCTGGAAAAGCAATCAGATGGGCTGCGTGCAGGCAGACGCGTCCTCTGAGCGCAGCGGCCAGTCTCGCTGCCGCGTTGGTCAAGTGTCGATCCCTCCTTTGAGCTGCTGCCTCAGGATATTGCTTTTGAACTGGCTCTAGCAAGCGGTCGGTTCAACTGTTGTCGTTGCAGGGAAGTCAATCCGTCTTTGAGAACAGGGTGAGTATATGTAGTGCACACTTCATCCGTGATGTAGGGAGCGGGAAAGCTATAGGTAATAAAAATTGTTATGTTCGTTGTGGTTGTACGGCATGTGAATTACACTCGTGCTGTCGCATGTTTGATCAGTTATCATGGACAGAAGATGTTTGGTCTCATTGTCAAGTGTCGTTACCTAATGGTTGCATTGAAGGTTTGAAACCTGAATTACCAGGCATACCATGTAAAATGTCAGATGTGGGTTATTTTTTAGTGATTTTTAGTGTGTCCCAGGCTTTGATTAATTACCTCTTGGTCATTTTCAGATGCTCTCTTCGCACAGTGGTGAACCGCCCGACCAGATACCAGCCGTCTAGTTTCGCGGTGGCTCTCTGAAGCCCGTGACGGCAGACGGACACACTGTCCGCAGAGGAGCCGACACGAACAAGGCGCAGGCCTGCTATAATGACTGTGAACACCGGAAGTGAGTCCGCTGTGCCAGCGCCTTGCAAGTTGCAGCGGCGCTAAGATGATGGCCGACGCCACGAATGTGCTGGCCATGCTGTGAATTTGTAAAAATTTGACCTGTGTGCAACCAGTAAATTTGTGAATATATTTCAGTGTCCAATGTAATTCATTTTGTCGTGCAGGCATTAGGTATAAAGGTTGAATTGGAGAATAATGAAGAGGCGAGGGGGTTGCGGTGGCGCAAGCAAAGTGGTCGCATCTGCATAACAGCAATCTGCGGTTATGAGACTGCGGTTAATATGTCAGATGCCACGCGCAGTGGAAGGGGGGGGGGGCGGATTTCGCCCACCCCTCCTGTTTTTCGCCAATAACTCGCGCCGCAAACATGATATTAATGTGAAATTTTGGCTACCTGTCCAGAATTGAACTGCGGATCTTCTCGTGCAAGAAATAAAAAAATCGGGTCACAACTTTTCTAGTAATAGCGGTGTAAAGTCAAACATCCTGCCGCCGCGGCGGCGCGGCGGCGCGGCGGCCGGCGCTAGCCGTTACGCGCCGCCTGAATTGTAGACTGTGCCGGGGCGGGACGGTTCCGTCTTTACATCGCGCTCCTTACCGCTGATTATATTGGATTCGCGTCAAATTTTGTGAGAAGACTAAAAAATGTACAGGCAATCTTATGGTCAAAGAATTTTGAAAATCGGCCGGTAACAACTTGAGTTATGAGTGTGTAAACACAAAAATTGTGATTGCCGCGTTTCCCGCGTCCGCCGATCCCGCTTCAGCCGGTGACATCTTACGCTTAGCAGGCTTCTAACTGCCATATTTATTGTTGGATTAACAAGAAATTCACCATACATACTCACAAATGTATGTTCTTTCGTATAGTGAAAGCAAAAAGAAAATCGGCCAGTAACTTTTTGAGTTATCGGCGTGTAAACGCAAAAAAGTCGCTAATATGGCAGATTTGACCATATTTGACCTCATTTGACCTTGAAGATATTGACCTAGGGTCATGAAATTCACACACAACAGAGTTCCCCTGGGCCCCCACCTACCCTCCAAATTTCGTCTTGCTAGCTCCAGTGGGAGCTGAGATCTTAGGGGGGGCGACATCCGCCCCCCCCCCCTTCCACTGGGCGTAGTACTCGCAACCCTTCCACTGCGCGTGTTAAATTAAAAGCGTTTAAATTATTTCAAGTTTCGATGTAAAGCCCTTGATAGCAAAGTACATTAAGCCGATGAAGCCGATCTCATAATTTTCAATCGCAACAAACCATTTCAAAGCACTAATCAAACACAATCCGGATTGGATTGCAAAAATTGGAAGTATGATGCAATCCAATCCGCATTCGCAATCAAATCCTGTTTTTTGGAATGGATTTCAAATCCAGGTGCAATCCACCAAAAAGGAATGCAATAAGGATTTTGCAATCCTGCAATCACAATCCTACCGATGCCTGCCTTACAGTATATATCTATTATTTTCCAAATCATATTAATATATAGTAATCTGTTTTTATTTATCCGTTGTGCCTATAACATCCGATGTTACCTATCGTCATTTATCCGTTGTACATGCGCGGCTTATGTGCGTGCTCGTAAACTTCGGGCTCCAAATTTTGCCATAGATCAGGAATTGCGCGATCGGAGGGTTCTGGTAGAGGGCAGAGCAAGCACTGCTTAGCGGTGACTCTGTCCTTGCGAATCCTTCCATTCAAAAGGTTCGAACTAAATGTATTTAAAAAAAAAAATATATAATCGCCAGGACTATGAGGTAATAGAATGGGACAACCGTCATGTAGCAACGTTATTTTGGGCTACTTCATAAATGGTCACATAAGCATCTAAATGCCTATAAAGTAGTCTATTTGCAGACAGTTTAGATATATGTAGGTATGCAGCTTTGATGTATCAATAGTGTATTGTGTAAATACTTTTCTTTAGCATCAAAGGACACGAACAAACGCCGTGTCGCCAGGTTTCGTTTAAAATGGCGACAGTTCGAATTACTAATCGCTCGTCATCGCTCGCCTGCTGTTCTGTCTGAGCGGTCGCGGGTTTCTGGTCAGTACAGGACTCCGCCGGAGTGGCGGAGGCAGCAGGACAGACACAGCGGTACCACCTACCCGGAGTCGGAGCCGTCAGCTTCGCTCAGTACCGCTCCAACTGTGACGCCGGCCGGTCCGACTCCGCCGCCCGCCCGCCGCCGAGCCGCGCTGTGCCGTCAGTGAGGTGCCGAGGAACTTAGGCTCATCAGTGGGCAATACGGGTAAAGACGAGTGCTGATTGTTAGTCAGAGTCAGTACAAAGTACATACCAGCAGGATTAAGATCGGGATTTCGATTCACGTATTCGCTGGTCAGTGATATCGATCATCTGAAAACAAGACGCGGCAAGGTGGTCACTGGTCAGACCTCATCACTTCCAACATCTTCAGAGGGTTCCAGCTCACCGATCTAGTCAGCCAGCACTCAGAGTGGCAGCTGATATTGTCGACCGACACCTGACCGAGCCGGGAGAGGCTGTCAGTCGCGTGGACCGCCTCCAGCCGGGACTATAACGGTCTCTCAGCTCCACCGACCACAGTAAGTGCTTACCCGACGGCTGGGTTCGGCGCGGTGCAGACGAGCGACGATGGACCACGTGAGGGCGGGCGGTGAGGCTTGAATACGATACTTTTAGCTCAGCGACCCTGTACATTTTTTTTTTTACTTGCTATTACATCAAAAACGAACATGGCATTTGAGTTTCACGTTTACGTGCAAAGGAACTTCGCTGGATGACATAGCCAAATTTTGAGCGAGTTAGGCATCTCACATATTTTCCTATAGCGTAATGTCGAGCCTGAGGCGGTACGTAAAACCACCCATCAAGTTACAGTTAGGATGAGGCCCACACTGTGCAGTTTACTTCCCATGATGACTGCGCATTTTTCGTTACCACATTGCGTGACCGCTTGTTGCGATTTCTTCCTGACACGCCGGGTATCAGGCGTGAATATCACGCTTCTTCTTCCGCTGTGCGTCGCCGTTTTCCACGCACGGCTCGCATTCTTTCTCGGGTACATGATGTAGGCCAAACAGTGCGGCGGCAAACCTGAGGAAAAGGAAGTGGGTCATCCGCCGCCGCCGCCGCCGCCGCCCCGCCAGGCTGGGAAGCTAAATCACCGCCCACCGCCGAAGGGCAGCGCCGCACCCGGCGCCCGGCGCCCGGCGATCGCGCCCGCCATGGCATGACGGTGAATTCACAGCCGCATGAGCTGACTCTGCCAACCCGACATACGCCAGGTGACCCAGGGAAACGGTGACCGAGGGAGAATTCAGATTCGAAGATCATTGCCTAGAACAAGGAGTTTTCTAGGAACGCGAGCTTTGTTAAATATTAAAACAGGCGAATTGTTAGCGAAATGCTACCTCGGTAACGAAAAATATCCGGCGATATTTAACTAATAACACACCCAACCGTCCAGTCATTGATGAAATCAGAGTGCACAGATCATTGATATCATTGGCTCGTGTGAATCCCTCGCTAATGACAATGGACAATAAGGACTATAAGCCTTGTGCTAGCTCGCGAGGATTTCACTGATCATATATCCAGGGCCAGTGGCCAGTGGTGTTTATCATATGATGGCTCATCGATAGGATGGGAGTAAGCAAAGTCAGATAGTGCCGCGTAACATGAACACACTTAGCTAGATCTTGTATTCGGATGACGGCATAGGTAGACGAGTGGTTTGTTATGTTATGGAACGATAACGAGTAACGACTTTGATAGCTGTTGACGGATTTGGATGGATCTAATGCACACGTGAACTGAGCTACCCAATCAGCGGCACGGTTTTATCTTGACGAAGTGAGGGATTCGAGTGTTACATACCTGCGACCAAATGCCATTACGTTTTCGTTAGATTTTAATGCATGTAATTTTTAATACGAGTAATATGCCTTTTTAAACCATGCGAATGTGTTCGATCCCATTGACACAAGCGCATAGTTCCACATCAGACTCTAAGATAAAATGCAATCACTCAGAACTGTTCGCTATATCTGTTTACCTCTGTGTCTCCGCCAGGTCGTCAGGATGGCGTCTGTTCTCTCCGCCGCTATCTGCGCGCTGCTGCTGCTGTCACCAGCCGCTGCCATCAACGTGCTCATCTTACACCCGGTGTACGCCGGCAGCCACGAGCTAACGCTGCGGGTACTCGGTGAACAGATGGTGGCGCGCGGACACAACGTCACCCAGATCAGGTGATAATCCAGTGCACCTAGCGGCTGTACGCGTTGTCACCCCCGGGTGGACTATGAACTATGAAGAGGTATAGAGGATCGTCTAAGCTCTACCGGCAGTGGCAGAGCGTCAGTCAATAGACGGTGAGGTAGTTACGATGTGCCCGACTCGACTAGTCGCTACGTTTTTGCCGCCACACAAGAAGTCGGCGTAGTTGAATAGCTTCAAGGACATTTTAGGCAAAGACCTCCGGTGGATAAGCCGCCCTGACGCTGGTCTTTATAGCCGCAAAAGTGACATCAGTAATGGTTGATGAACGATGTGAAGAAATAATTGTTAAATATTGTCTTGGTTCATGTGATTTTTTATTGGCTTTCTAGTAAGGACATGAGCAAGTAGGGTTAGATCACTTTTATCTACAGTGGGTCATGCCATATTGGTTGAAATCGTATTTGCACGCATCGCTTACTTACAGTCATGGCTCGCCTCCGCATCGTATCAGGGGATGGTGTTCTTGATGGTGTTAGCCTGCCAGTCTGCGTTGCAGTCTCCGCTACAGCGCGCGCCTGATGAAGCAAATAAACGCTCCGGCGTATTGTCTTGGGGCAGTGCTATGTGAGAGTGATATCACAAGTCAGCAAGGACAAAGTAATCAAAATTGAAGACTGTATTGTTTAAAAAAGATAAAAATGCGATTTATGAAGATTACAACACTGCCACTTGGAGCTGGCTGAATCACCGGAGTCCGGGTCCTATATTTGATGCCGAAATGCTAAAGCAAATTTAAAATGAGCTCAGTTCTTTTTCAAATAGTGCATACTTGCTACAATATGTGCTACGTCATCTTATAAGAGACTTTGCAGCTGCATGGCGTAATAACGGACAATATGACGCAGATATGATGCGACGATGCGTACTGCGTAATGAATATTTGCAAATTGTTTTGATATCGGTGCTGGTGTTCCCTTCCAAACAACCTCAATCATTCCATCTCGCATGCCAGACATACGATATAGCAAATGTGCCGAGCTAAGCTACCTACATAATGCAGACGATAGCTTCTGGTGAAGCTCTGCCGTCCCATAGTTTCTTTTTCTTCTGTCAGATGGCTTCAATTCAGCCTACAGGCCAGGTTCTCGTACTCTGCCATGCTGAACATCCCGCCTGTCCGGACGTGATTCGACAAACACTGAAATTGCAGGTTACCGCTCAAAATGGCCAGCAGTCATCGCCCCACCCTACTTCCGACCCGGATGTCCTAATGCATGAATCTCCAATTAACCCTACCGTTTCGCTGCGGTGACTAACCCTACCGTTTCGCTGCGGTGACACGAATACAAGCAATATGATGGATAGAGATGAATGAGATAAGTCACGTGAACGAGTGGCATAACTTCATAAGCACAAATCGGGTGAGATATGCGACGGGCAAACGTCCCATACCTTTTACCGAAGGGAACGCGTGCAATGAAGCAATGCACACGTTAAAATCTGTGTTTGCATTGCAACATATGGGTTGAACAGACTGCCAGGTGCCAGACAGACTGAACAGATTGCACCGAGCTACCCGATTGTTGAGATTTATGACAACTGATTGATATAACAGGGCCGACATACCTACATCACGTAGACCGTAGTTACCGAATGGGGTTTATTAATCGTTTATCCTCCACACTGTTTGCACATCCGAATTCCGATCAACCAGCTTTCGTGACTAAAAACGTCAGGACTGGTCAACGTCACAATAAAATTGAACTGCATCACATATTTAGCATAGCTGCAAAAAAAAACAACTAAGAATGCGAGCACAGTAATTTCACAGGGAGCCGGAAAAGATATATTCGTGGCTGTCGCAGGTCGTTGCAACTGCGAATAGTCGCTTTTGACTTACAAACGTTCACGGCAGAGCGACGAGCTCCTCCAGTCGGGACCCGGCTCAATTGTCCAACCGCGCGACACACTTAGTCTCCCCTCCATAGACTGTCGTGACTCTGCATAGTCACGGCTCTGGGTTCCTGCACGGCTACCGTATGGGTAATTCACTGCGTGTGGATAATCGTTTTATTTGTGGCGGTAAAAAGGAGTATTGTTGCGCCAGCCGCACCATGCTTTTGTGAAACAGAAAGCAGTATGGCGCCTACTTTCTAGAACCGTGACTCTCTTGCCGTGTGTCGCGGCTGCCTTGTTTTCCGTTCTCCTAATAACAGGTCTGTCTATCCGTGCTCCTCTGACTCCGTAATTTAAGGGTCTCTGCCGTCTGCGTCCCTTTTACTTGGGCGCTTCCTTCTCCCTCGAGGTTTGACAACAACACACCGAATTAAAACATTCCGACCCCGCCAGTCTCCCGGATCTGGCCCGTTTCGCCGCCCACTGAAGGGGTCCTCTGGCGAATGGCACGCACCCACTCTCTCTTGTTGACAAGCGCGGGCTCCTTGAGCACGTAGTGGCGGAGCGACGCCGTATGACGTGACCGTAGTAGGCTCTCTCCCTCGACCAGCTGCGCGCAGTGGGAAGACTCGACGCAACCCCTCCGGTGCACGCCCGAAGCACCGCGAGCGCCTAGAAACGGGCCTGTTTACCTGTTCGGGTGAAAGCGGGGTACGATTTGTGGCACTTGCGGGTCGTCCGGAGAAAAAGTAACCTTGACTGAGCCGCCAGATCCTCCAAATGATTACCCGGAACTTTGCAGAGTTTGTTTCGTAACTCACAAGCCCTTTAAGGCTTTAGCGAACTAAATTAAACCACTTCAGTCTCCATCTGAACTGACGAATCGAATACATGTGTCTGCTATATTTTTTTTTCTTATAGTCGTTTTTGTGAGGGGCTATCTGGCAAATGCACCTAATTTGACCAAATCTGCACCAACTCTGCACCTAATCTACACCAAATGTGTACCAGATGACCGTCATGAAAACGGCTATTGTTAATTGTTCGTTCATACTTTTATGTTATTGTATTGTTCATAAGAAAAAATGTATAGGCGAATTCAAAACAAGTTATTTTATTTCATCGTTACAAATTTACATATCGACTTTGGTAGCAATTTCATCCGTATAACTGCGATCATTTCTATTTCATTTTTGTCTTACACTAATTTTCCCAGATTTTTGAGCCGGAAATCGAAGCCGGTCGACTCACCCGTGGAGCTTCTGAGCCGGACGGTCAACAACACGGACCTGCGCTCGTCGTACTTTGACCGTGATGGGGTGTTCGTTCCCCCGACCGACCTGCTGTGGCAACGCACCCGGCGCCTGTCCAGCCTACCCACCGACGTTTTCTCCATGACACACGCCTTCTGCGAGGTAAGATGACCCCTCGATGACCTGGGTCACTTGTGTGGGAGCTTACGAGATTTTATGTGACTTGGACGGAGTAATTGGGCGATGATGATTATTCTTGTTGCTCATGATGCCGTTGAACGTAGTTACACACTGACTCACACCGAAGCTTAGGTGTATCTGTCCGTCTTGGACGCATTCTTTCGATTTTTTCTGTTTAATGTAGGTAATCTATTATGTGATTTGCTCACTGCTCATATATCATAAATGCATGCATAACATACATGATTTGCGTCGCTTGACATATTCAGTACCTAATCTACCATTGGAAGTGTGTCTCCGTCATTTTCTTATTCAGCTTCTGTGCCATTTAAACATACCGCTGGACACAGTATTGACTATTGAGCCTATGATGATTCATCTCTGACTTCCAGAGCCTGCTGGGTGACCACCACCTGTTCGAGTCGCTGCGTCAGCGCCGCTTTGACGTAGCGCTGGTCGACATCATCTCCAACGAGTGCGGTCTGGCGCTGGCCGCAGCGCTGAAGCTGCCCGTGGTCGGCTTCTGGGGCTTCAGCTTTGTCGGCGGAGAGGTGAGCGGGGTGTGACAGGGCAGGGGCGTGGGCCTGTGAGAGCGTGAGAGGTTAGCTGAGAGGGACACGGCATGGGGCGAGTACCTGTGAGAGCGGGGCTTAGTTTTAACAGTGACGTTGGGTTGAACTGGTGATATTCTTTGTAAGTGTCTACTTGTCTAGCAACAGTCACATTGCGAAAGCTGTGAAAGAAACTCAGGAAAAAGGTAGGTCGCGCTGCTTGTCAGTTAATAAAAGAAGGTAGATGTGAAGGCTAGCGGGAGAGCCATAAACCGTAATGTTTGGATAGAGGCGTGAATCGCTAACTCACCAATTAGCAGGCCAAGAACAAGTGTGCCACCGCTGACCTGTTGTCTCAAGAAATCCAGTGCTGTATGCATTGCATATATTAGCACCTGCTGGTTATACTCGTATAATGAACAGAAGCCCAAGGACATTAGAACCCTTAAAGTGGCTTTTACAAAGAAAATAATCAAAAGCACCTAGAAAACCGGTAGTCAGTAACATAAAAATAAGTGCACATTTAGGACGATCACCTTCGATAAGCCCTATCCCTATCCTGTATCATTTTGTCAAATATAGGCAGGCGCCAGGCAATGAAACCAGTGCAACTGGAATTTATCGTTCCCCTGTGCTTGATGAGAAGTGTCATGCGTGCGACCCTTGCAGCTCACGTGACAGTTCAGAAATAACCAGCGATGACTTTCCGTGATCGCCAAACGACCACTGCGTGACCTCGATGTGACTCGCATGTGACCTGGGCTGTATGAAACCTATATCTGACCTCTGAGTGACCTCTGTGTGACCTGTGACCGGCAGAGTCACGCCACGTCCACGATGAACCTGCCGTCTGTGACGCCCACCTTCCTGTCCGACACGGGACCTCAGATGGGCTTCACGGCTCGCCTCTACAACACGCTCTGCATGATCGTACACAAGGTGCTGCTACAGGTTCAGTTCCGAATCGCCAACGAGTACATCCAGGTCAGTGGGGTCGGGTCGGTCTGTAATAATCGATAACTGAGATTTATGTAATAAAAATGTAATGTTTCTAAACGATCGACAAATTTTTACCAGAGTCTTGTGGCGCCCGGTGATAACTTACAGTTTACACCTAAAACATGTAGCCAAACATGCCTGACATAACAATAAGACTTGCATGAACCTAGGCGTTTTTATTATACATACATCCTTTAACAGCTTAGTGCAATAGATATATTTGGAGCGCCACGTTGAAAGCACCCGTCCTCTGTGCAGAGGCACTACCCGACGCTGCCAGACGCAGCCACCTTGGTGAACAACATCGACATGGTACTGGTGCACTCCAACTTCCTGGCGTCACAGCCGGTCCTGCTGCCGCCCAACGTCCAAATGATTGGCTGTACCCAGTGCAGGGACGCCAGACCGCTGCCCAAGGTAAGGATATTGAAAAGAGTTTCCTTGACGCAATAATTTACTTTTGCGCAATTCTTTTGAGCCCAATTAGTGTGAAGAAGTTTAAATGATCCGGCTTTTGTTCGGTTAGTGGGAAGAAGTAGTAAAAAATGCCAATCCCATCTCAGCAGTCATGTAATACACCCGGTAACCCACCACCATTTTCTGACGGCCAGGACTACGAGGATTTCATGCAGAGCGCCGGTGAGCACGGCGTAATTGTCTTCAGTCTGGGCATCACCGGCTACGAGGCGCTCTCGGTTCCGGACGACTACATCGAGGCCTTCATGAACGTCTTCGGCCGGCTCAAGCAGAAGGTAATGACCCGTTTGTGAGGTCAGGGAACGTGTTTGATTCTTTCATATCACAGATAGTTTTCCAAGTTTGTTTGTATTTAGGAACCAATTCTTCGACACCAGTAATGCGTATATTGATTCGGTAGCTTTCGGAAGCTTCTGCTCCCTTCGTCAGCCGTGCTTTAAAATGCATTAAAATACAAGACAATACGTCTCAAACGTCTCAAACACCTACCAAAATACATACCACCACGAGGAAAAGTTGTAGCCGTACGTCTAAAGCACAGATGCACAAAATAATCATACGAATACACCATAACTGAGCGTGAGCACACATTACATGAAAGAAACCAATATTTGAAAGTTACCTCACACTGACTTCTCTTTCTTTTGACCAACATTCCATAACACATATTAATGAACTAAGACGTAATCGTCCGTAACATTCGTGCCAAACTTTCGGCAGTCATCGTAAGTTCATGATCGTAACAACCGAGATCGAGACAATTAATCGGAAGTAGTCGTAAGTTCGTAATCGTTTTACAATCGCAGACGTACAAGCTCGCATATTCGCTCTAATAATCACATACAACAACCGTACATATTTTTCAACACTTCTAAACTAAGTGTGCCTATAATAGCTCACTCATACCCCCTGGAATTCGCCCTATACACGCAGTGCCCTGTACAGTAGGTCTATTAAAAAAGTCCCCAGCACCAGTGGGCGCTGCCTTCGCTGAGCCGAACCCCCGTCTGCCCGTCCCATATCGCGCCGGGCTCAGGTCAGATAGGGTCAGCGGGACCGCTTGGTCCGGCCCGCGGGCGGTGGACGGGCGGCCGGTAACGCTTTCCGCCAGCCAGCTGTAGAATCCAACAAACGAGACGGCCACCGCTCAGCGCAGCGAAACCGGTGTTAACCCGCGCCCCACTGGGGGGGGGGGGGCTATTTATAGCCCCCCTCCCGTTTTTCTGCAATAACTTCCAAACCGCTTGACGTATCAACGCCAAACTTTCAGTACCTTTGGCTGCATCAATTTGACACCTTTTGTCAAAATTTGAACTTCGTACCTACCATAGGTCGGCCGGAAATGACGTCAGAGTGACGTCATGTTCGGCCGATTTCGACACAAAACATTGAACCACGGCAATCGCTCCCAAGAGCTCAGTTTTTAAGCTAGATCCAATTTCTTTGCATGAGAGGACTCAGAATAGACTGCGCTATCAAACTGCTATCTCAGATTTTCGAAATTTTGAAAATTTCGAAAATTTTATATAATAAAATTCAAAATTTATTTTTTTACATTTAAAAAAAAATTGACTTTTCGAAAAAACAGAATATATGTGATAGAACGCATTATTATGACTAACTCTAGCAAGTTTTAGCTAAATATCTTCAAAAATGGCCAAGTTATACGCATTATTGCAAAAAATTAACAATTATTAATTTTTCAAATCAATTTTTCAGCACGAATTTGACATCGTACGCCAATATAAGTAGCACCATCATGTTCCTGAGCTCAAACTGCATCCAATAGACACCTTTTTTGTTGAAAAATTATAACTTCAAAATTTGACCTTTTTTGACCTGAAAGTGACCTGACCTAAGCTAAATTTGACTCAAAATGACCTCGAATGACACAAACGACATCAAATTCGAAATGTTTGGCCTAAATGGACCATAAAACATGTGTCACGTGACCGACGGATGATATAATATTTTCGTGACCTGTGATGACCTGACCTTGACTTGAAAATCAAAGTACAACTTTGGTACCCTCAGAGTATCTAGAGCATCTGTTCACGAGTGTGTGAACCAAAAATGAGCCTGATCTGACTTGTAAGACGGCGGCCAGAGCCCAAAACGTGAAGAAGTCAAAATGCTAATAATTTTTACTTTGACCTGACCTGTGACGTCATCGGTGACCTTGAGGTCAATGAAATTAGGTTTCGCTCGACAGTTTTTCCGGGGCTATCAGACGCCGTTTGAATTTTGACGATCGGCCCAGTAGTTTCGGAGTTAGGAGGGGGACTATGAATAGCCCCCCCCCCAGTAGGGCGTGTTATACGCAGACCCCAGTGGGGCGCGGGTTAAAGAATGGCAGTAGATGTTCATGGCCACAATGATTATGAGATAGTCATTGTTAGCCCGTGCCCCACAGGAATGCCTAGACTCTCACGCCCTGTTGGAGGGGAAATGGGGATTGAGCATCATTCTTATACCTTACTCAGCTTTCGGCATTTGGTTTTTCTCACAGACAATGACAATAAAAAACAATGTAATAAGACCAGACGTTTCGACAACAAAGTGCCTTCGTCAGTGGAAAACAAGATATAGGCTTTACATCGATAAAAAAATATAGAAGATAAAATATATAAAAAATCTATATTTTTTATCGATGTAAAGCTTATATCTTGTTTTCCACTGACGAAGGCACTTTGTTGTCGAAACGTCTGGTCTTATTACATTGTTTTTGTATTGTCATTGTCTGTGAGAAAAACAAAATGTCTGACTCTTCTAATTTGGGTATTTAAGTGGTATTCGAAGTAGCGTCGAAAGTAGCAAAAGAAGAAAAAATACTTCAGCCAATTTTAGATCGGTTCAGAGCAAAAGGTCATGTCACCAGAGGTCATCGATGGTAAAATTTTGCTTGGACAGGGTGCATTGGGTTTCCAATGTATAGCTCCTATAACTGAGCTAATTGCTAGAGCCTCGTGGAAAAAAAACGAGCGCTTGCGTCGTTACGTGACGCAGCGACTGTCACCCCATTTTAAAATATCAGTGACCTCTTAGGGCAGGTCAAGGGCCCCAAGGCATTGGATCGGTTTTTGGTGAATAACTTCGCAAAAAAATGTCGCATTATCGTCATTTCGATAATCGTGTTTTCTGTTCTCAGACGCGTCGATTTATATGCTTTTTTGCTTAGGTGAAGCAATTTAGGATGTTTAGGTCAATGTCATGTTAGGGCAACACAGGTCACGAAGCTGTTGAAAGGAGGACATGCTGCATAACATTTGATTTGACCAGTCTTGCAGAGTCCATTGATGGCTGTCCCGACTGGCTAGCTCATTTTAATCGGGAGTTATTGACGAGCACTCCTATTGACGAGCACTCCGTCACGCAAGGTGAACAATGCAAAAGTGAAGCATTAAACCTTGCCAAGAATGTATGAAGTCACGATTTCATGTGCGTGAGGTATGTTTTAGCTCATTTCCGACGCCAAATTAACAGTTTCCATATTTTCCCATTATGCTTATATGACACTAAGTGCATTACGGATTTGCATCATTTTATAACCGACAACCGTGCAGTCTGCAGAGGTTTACTTAAGACGTCATAGTTAAGTGACCTGACATGAAAACGTGGTTGATTTCAAATCATCCGGCTTGAATCAAATGTAAGGCATATGAAATGTCAGCCTTCTATCATCAGTGTGCTTTGAGCTATCGCAAAAAAAAACATGGTGGCGGCATCCACCCCTTCTTCTCGGCCGGCGAGGGTTAAACCTCGCTTCGAATTATTGCAGATAATGATGCGACCGAAACCAAAGCATTTATCTGTGTCTAGAACGGCCGCTGACTTGTTGGACAAGATCCCCAATCTTAATTTGCTACATGGGAATAAAATACTCGGCATATGATACATACATACCCATCGATTTGCCCTCGCGCAGTCAATTCTAATCATCACTGTCGCTTTTTTATCCGAGATGATGTCGCCACTAAACGGGTTGTTTTGTTTGCTTGCTTGCGTTGGATGGTCATTACGGATTATTGAGGGATTTTGATATAATATGAATGGGGCAAGGGAGGATATGCACTGCAGTGCAGGTGTTTAATTTAGATCACAAAGGCATCGTTTCCGGCATCGTTTCCGGCATCGTGCAGAGTCACTATCTTCCCCTCCTCTGCACTGCGGCATCTCTGCGCCCCACACACGGCGTCCTCACTCCACGGCCGGCCGCCGCCAACTGACCCACTCGCCGGGCGCCGCGACCTGACCCGTGTCACTGCCGCGGCCTGCGCAATAGAGTCGGGGCTGGAATCCGGGGGTTCGGCCGGCCGGCCGCCTCTGGAGCGGGGGACTTTTTTAGTAGACCTACTGTACATGTCCGGCACCTCCCACCCGGGTAAGACATTGATGCTGTTCTGTCTGTCTACCCTGGAAATATAAAACCCCTCCTTCACCTTTCGTTTACCCCAGCTCGTCTCATAGTCCAAAATTTTAACTTCGTCCCACATGATAGAGTGCCCTGTTTCTAATATATGCCTCGATATCCCTGAATGGTCTCGGTTCCCGTTTGCTATAGCTCGCTTGTGTTCTGACTCCCTCGTCCTCAGCTTTCTCCCGGTTTCCCCTACATAAACTTTTCCGCACTGACACTTTACTGATAGACCAGCCCAGCCTTCTCTTTGATCCCTAATTTGTCCTTGGGTTTGACGAGCCTAGCACTAAGGTTCGCTGCAGGTCTCGTGCTGACCTTCGCGTAGGGTCGGAGGACGCGCGTGACCTGTTCACTCACCCCCTGGATGTAAGGGATGCTTACATAAACCCGTTTGTCCTCCTCCTGTTCCCTGCCTACCCGTTCAGAACCACCACCCTCTCCCATGCGTAGTCGTTCTCTATTTTTTACCCGCCTGTGGATACGGCGCACCATTCGCTTTGGGTAGTGGTTCTTCACCAGTGCCCGTTCTATCTTCCCTGTCTCGCGTTCCTCGTCCTCAGGTGTTGTCGTGAGTCGTGATGCCCGTGTGAAAAGTGTCTGTGGGAATGATGCCTTGTGCTGTGAGCTGTGGTGTGATTCATAGTGAAGGTATTTGTCCGTATGAGTTGCTTTCCTGAACACCTCGGTCTTCATGGTCCCCCCTCCCAGTCTATGTACCTTTACATCCAAAAAAGGTAAGGATCCCTCCTTTTCCTCCTCGAGCGTGAATTCAATATGGTGAATGGTGCGCCGTGAATGGTGCGGCGTATCCACAGGCGGGTAAAAAATAGAGAACGACTACGCATGGGAGAGGGTGGTGGTTCTGAACGGGTAGGCAGGGAACAGGAGGAGGACAAACGGGTTTATGTAAGCATCCCTTACATCCAGGGGGTGAGTGAACAGGTCACGCGCGTCCTCCGACCCTACGCGAAGGTCAGCACGAGACCTGCAGCGAACCTTAGTGCTAGGCTCGTCAAACCCAAGGACAAATTAGGGATCAAAGAGAAGGCTGGGCTGGTCTATCAGTATAAGTGTCAGTGCGGAAAAGTTTATGTAGGGGAAACCGGGAGAAAGCTGAGGACGAGGGAGTCAGAACACAAGCGAGCTATAGCAAACAGGAACCGAGACCATTCAGGGATATCGAGGCATATATTAGAAACAGGGCACTCTATCATGTGGGACGAAGTTAAAATTTTGGACTATGAGACGAACTGGGGTAAACGAAAGGTGAAGGAGGGGTTTTATATTTCCAGGGTAGACAGACAGAACAGCATCAATATCTTACCCGGGTGGGAGGTGCCGGACATGTACAGGGCACTGCGTGTATAGGGCGAATTCCAGGGGGTATGAGTGAGCTATTATAGGCACACTTAGTTTAGAAGTGTTGAAAAATATGTACGGTTGTTGTATGTGATTATTAGAGCGAATATGCGAGCTTGTACGTCTGCGATTGTAAAACGATTACGAACTTACGACTACTTCCGATTAATTGTCTCGATCTCGGTTGTTACGATCATGAACTTACGATGACTGCCGAAAGTTTGGCACGAATGTTACGGACGATTACGTCTTAGTTCATTAATATGTGTTATGGAATGTTGGTCAAAAGAAAGAGAAGTCAGTGTGAGGTAACTTTCAAATATTGGTTTCTTTCATGTAATGTGTGCTCACGCTCAGTTATGGTGTATTCGTATGATTATTTTGTGCATCTGTGCTTTAGACGTACGGTTACAACTTTTCCTCGTGGTGGTATGTATTTTGGTAGGTGTTTGAGACGTTTGAGACGTATTGTCTTGTATTTTAATGCATTTTAAAGCACGGCTGACGAAGGGAGCAGAAGCTTCCGAAAGCTACCGAATCGATATACGCATTACTGGTGTCGAAGAATTGGTTCCTAAATACTTATAATGTCCCAGTACAATAATTCCATATTTAAAACAAGTTTGTTTGCTTTTTTGTGTTCTCGACAAACCAGTTGAACCATTTATTAATTTGCGTGATAATTTGTGAAATTATTTGAATGTGATTTGAACGTGAACTAATTTGCTCATTGCCCATTCCCATTAGCCGCAGACCGTACCGGTCTTATCTAGCCTCATGGTGTTTATCGCATGCTTCATGCTCAACTTTATTAAGTTATAATAAATAATCATTAATTACTCTGCTGGTCAGCTATTCATACCTGGTCTCTTCACTAACACAGGTGCTGATGAGGTTCACTGCGTCCCGTTTGAAGAGGGTCCCGTCCAATGTCAAGGTCGTTGACTACCTTCCTCAGATCGATGTTCTCGGTAAGACGCTCATAACTTCCAGTATGATGCAAAGGAAGCCGTGTTTTGAAATATTTTCAGCGTTGATTGATTTATTGCATGCATGACCTCGGATGGAAATTTGTGTTCGAAAAGTGAAGAATGAGATAGGTCATTGCTGATCGAAATGATTTTACTTTCATGGTGTACTTACGTTTCAGTCTCGGTGTTTTAAATATAAAATGTTTTATCGTGTTTTCAGGTCACAACCAGACCCGAGTGTTTGTCACTCACTGTGGCATGAACGGTATGATGGAGGCCTTCTACGCAGGAGTTCCGCTGCGTAAGTTTTCCGAACGGCAGATATTTAAATAAGATTAATAATTAATCTACAAGCGGCTTGTTTTGAAAAAAAAATCAGAGTTCAGCTGCGCTACATCGCTTATACCTATGCTTAATGTAGCTGGACTCAAAATGCACCGATCGCTATTGATAATAATAGGTATATCTGGAAGTTAAATATACTCGATACATAGGTATATGTATTTGCCCGTCATAGCGTTCTCTCTTACTGTTTGTAGGCCAGGTTATAAGTATATCCATGTTTGTCGCTGATGGTCTGACAAAACTTCCAGTTGGAGTACCTATCTTCGGCGACCAGGGAGACAACTCAAAGTTTATGCATCATCGCGAGCTTGGCATTGGGCTGGACAAGTTCGGTCTGACCGAAGAAATTCTGATGGACTCCCTCAATAAGCTTCTTTATACTAACAAGTAAGTAATAAGACTGTTTTGCGCAGTGAACCGTGTGTTAGAAATGTTTCTAATCCTCTTCGAGTCCGGCAGTGGTGTCAACGGCCCTCGGCATAACTGCCCTCTTCTGGTTGTTGCTCTACCGTCCGTTATAGGTCGATTCATCTGCCATCTGGCGGGAGACCTGCCTGCCCTCTGTCGGCGAACCGGCTAACCTCCCCTGCACTGACCCCCTTGCTTTGTTTGTTGAGTTTATCCCTTTCGGTCTAAAAAAAAGCCACTCAAGAGCCTTTTTGTTGGCCCTCGCTTACACACAAATTACACATATTTTTTTCAGCCCCGATGGATAGCCAACCGCCCGACCTGCCTGCCCTCTAGCGAGCGACACTGCTGCCACCTACGGCCCCTGACCACACGTCTTCCTCCCTCAGGTACCGGGATAACGTGCGGCGCGTGCGCGACATCTGGCGGATGGAGCCGGAGTCGGCCACGGACCGCGCCCTACACTGGATCGAGCTTGTGTCGCGGTTCGGCGCGCCCAGCCACCTGAGGATGGTGGACGGTCACCTGCGCTGGTACCAGTACTGGCTACTGGACGTGGCAGCGGTATACGCCGCTGTCCTCCTGGCTGCGGTGATGGCGGTAGTGCTCGGAGTGCGCGGCTGCCTCCGACGTCTGACCGGAAAGGCCGTGACGACGCCGGTCAGCCCGCGGAAGACCAAGACGAAGAAGCAGTAGTGGGTGTGAGGGACGGCAGGGTAACGGGCCTGGGTCAGGGAGGTGAATCTCTGCTCAGTGAGCGTCCTAAGCGTCAGTGTTCAGCAGGGCCGTCTGAAGGCACTCAGGATGATTAAATGTTGCGAGGTGTGTGTGAATAAGGGGATGAGCGTGAATGATGTATCAGAGATATACTTTGGATGAGTTGGTCGCTTCACGTTGGTGTGCTTGTAGCGGTTGTCACATAAGTTGGTACATATGTAGTTCCGTATCAAATTAACTCCACGCTCTGAAGCTACACGACAGCATATTATATATAGCAAGCAGTGGCCTTTCACTGCATTTTCACCTCCTATAGCGGTTTGACGTATGCAGCCATGCCGTTTGCTGTCACCATATCACTACCAGTACATGCATCTATTTATTGGTTAGAACTGTTAGATGTACATATGTCTAACAGTTAGATGTATGTAGGTTGCTTCATTTGTCTTGTGTCTACCATGAATATTGTTTGATTGCTAGTTTTTAATCGTAATGCTCTTGGGAACCTTTATTACACCTTTGTTTTCAAGTTTTATTTTCTAACTTTAAGATGCTTTTAATTGTTAACTGCCTCCCAATAGGTTAGAAATAAATATCAGTATTGTTTCAGGACGCAGTGATGCTGCCAATGGCCATGCTATTTATCGTGTCAGACATTGTAATGTTTATTCACATTTGATGAGAACACAGAAAAAAATTCTAAATAGCCATTTGGCTATTTAGAATATTTGTTTTTGTGTTTTCATCGAGTGTGAGTAAATTGCCATGCTATTGATCAGTATTTCGTATTTATTCTTCATCCGACATAACAAACGTTGAGAAACTTTATATCGTAGTTCTACTACATTGTTCTACATTTTCTGCATGGTATCTGTCACATGAATATATTGCCATTTTGAGTCGGCCACCGAATCTTGACTTTGTTACTTTACGAAGCATTATTATATATAAATAAATAAATAACTAAATATATATATATATATATATATATATATATATATATATATATATATATATATATATATATATATATATATAAATATATAAATAAATAAATATATATATATATATATATATATATATATATATATATATATATATATATATATATATATATATATATATATATATATATATATATGTGTGTGTGTGTGTTACGGGTCATATGCTAACTTGGGCAGTATACAAACTACCCGGGCAGTATGCAAACTACCCAACAGCCCGGGCAGTATGCATACCGCCCGGGTAGTATGCATACTACCCGACCCCTTGGGCAGTATGCATACCGCCCGGGCAGTTTGCATACTGCCCGGGTAGTATGCATACTACCCACCTTTTCTCTCACGGGCAAGATGTTTACTCGGGCAATATGCTGACCGTGGCCCGTGAGACTAGTTCATGCAATAGGTCACATATACATGTCAATGGCAGACTCTTTAACCCGCGCCGGGGCGGTGCTCGGCGCCAGTGGTGCCGGGCTGGGGGGCGGGTTGAGCACCCCTGCTCGACTCCCGTGCCACTTAGCGGAACAGAAGTATCAAGTAAGCGGCATGTAAGATGCGGTAACCGGCATTCGAAATAGCGTCAAAGATCATGACGAAAGTGCCCTAGTCATTTTTAAGGCCAGGTCAAAGAATAGGGCAACAGAGGTTATCAAAGATCAAATTTCGTCTTTTTCATTTTTCTTATAAATTCGCCCATAACTCGGAAAATAGGAGAGCTACAGCGCCGCAGAAAGACGCATTCGATAGCTCTGTTAGCGCTTTCTGGAATAAGTACTCAAAGTTGATCTAAGTTCCAAATTTGACCTGAGGTCAAGGTCATGACCTGACATGAAAAGGTCATGTTGTTTATCAGCCTCCTTATCGTCGAACTGAACACATCTAAGGTTGTTTACATGACCATCGCTCCAACACGTCTCCATAAAAAAATAATGGTCAAAGAACTGCTGGAGACCTTTTATGACCTGATATGACCTCATGGTCATAAAAAGGGGTCACAAGTGCAATTTTTTTCGATTCAGTGCGTCATGTTTACCTGTATGTAACCCGATGTTTGAGAGTGTTTAGAATGACGTTCAGCAAAAGGGGCGTCCTTCAACTTTCTCCTGTCAACTTTTTAGGGAGACTGTGCAATATTGACTTGACCTAAAAGTCATCGGTATGGTATCAAAATTCAAATACATGCCTTTTGAACCTAATGTTACTCTTATTAGTCGCTTAAAGTTTCAAAGCGATCGTTAGGTCGGTGTAGCTATGGCGAGCATTCCAACCTTTTCTGGGGTAAGGTCACTTGACCTGACCTGGTAACCCGACTATAAGACCTTGTAACGTCTTACATGTAAATGGTTTCATGTAACATTAGGTATTGAAACTATGATAACACCCTCTACAGGTCCAAGTGTCAAACCAAAGCCAGCGAGTGATGGCACTACAGATGTGTCGTCATTTCAGATGAAAGTGACTTGTTGGCCGCTGGCAATGAAATTCAATGAAATTCTGGGGAAATATTTTAAATCTTTATATTCAAAACATTATTTCACTCTCCGATCGATAAATCACGTTTGACGGCAAAAAAGACTACGCGATTAAACTACGTTACTTTTTTTAAATTTAGTCCGAACCTTTTGAATAGAAGGATTCACAGGGACAGAGCCCCCGCTAAGCGAAGCTTGTTGCGGTAACCCTGCCCTCTACCCTCCGATCGCGCAATGCCGGTTTTATGGCAGAATTTGGAGTCCAAAGTTTAACCCTCACCGGACCTATTGGTTTTCTACATACGCGCCGGCCGAGGGGGGGGGGGTACACCCCCCCTCGCCGTTTCGCCCCTGGTGGAGCTAGCGCGTCGCGGAAAAAACGAGCGTGTGCGCCGTTACGAGACGCAGAGATTGGTACCCGATTTTAAGGTCCTAGGTCAACCGGTGACCTCTGAGGTCAGGTCAAGTGCCCCAAGATACGGTTCAGTTTTTGGTAAATAACTTCGCAAAAAACGGCCGCAGAGCGCCGATTTTGACAGCATCGTGTTCGCCTTGCTCAGGCGCGTCGAATGATATACTTTTTGTTCGGGTCAGGTCAACTTGGGGTGTTGACCTCAGGTCAAGGTCAGGTCAGCACCCTCAGGTCACGAAGTTGGTCGAAAGAGGTCATGTCGCATATCATTCGATTCGGCAGGTCTTCCTGAGTCCATTGGTGGCTTTCTCGACTCGCTAGCTCAATTTGATCGGGAGTTATTGACGAAAAACTAATATGACCTTGATGACGTCATAAATGACGTCATGCAAGGTCAACATTGCAAAAGTGACGCATCTAACCTTGCAAGGAGTTCATCAAATCACGATTCTGTGTGCTTGAGATAGTTGGAGATCGTTCCCGGCGCCAGAATAGCAGTTTTCATTTTTCCCCATTGACTTATAATGGTGAGGTCACGAAAATGACCTGACCTCATATGACCTTTAGGAAAAATCTGAGATATACAAGCTGTGGGACTCATAATGGATACTAGATCCTGCAAGTTTCATTTCCCTTTGACATCTCCTCTGGCAGTGAGGGCGTTGCGAATTAGCGACATCTGAAGACCGTGCAGAGGTTCACTTATGACGTCATAGGTCAGTGACCTGACCTGACCCAAAAATGTGCTTGGTGTCAAAAGATGCGGCTTGGATCAAAGGTCAGGTATGCCAAGTCTCAGCTCTCTATCGCCAGCGTGTTCGGAGCTATCGCGAAAAAACCGTATGGGGGGGCGGCACCCGCCCCCCCCCCTCGGCCGGCGAGGGTTAAAGTGCGCACAGAGCCGCGCACGGCCGGTCCTCTCACTGACTTCGCTTGGCTACGGGCTACGGCCTGCCACAAACCGTCCAATCTGTAAGGAGGCTCATTAACCCTCGCCCGCACATGGGGGGGGGGGGGTGGTTGCCACCCCCCCAGGCAGTCTTTCTGCTCTGCACTCAACATTTTTAGAGCTAGCAGGCTGATTTTTCGTATAGCTGCTCGTCTATCCTTTCTTGATGTCCACTGAAAATTTCAAGTTTCTGTGATTTTTGGTTTCGGAGATATGACCTTGTTTTTCAGGTCATGTCATGACCCAAATGGCCAATTCTCAACATCTTGCGTTTGCCATGGGCCTTGTGAGCTTTTGACACCCTGATTTCGGCCTTTTTTGCCAGTCTTACCTCCCACCTATCATGGAACATGTTGTTCGACGATGTACAGGGGTCAAGGTCAGGGTCAAGGTCAACCTAGGTCATCTACGATAATTGCGTTTTAGGCAAGCTGAATTTACTTTTTGTGAAGTTTTTTGACTGCATTTTTGGTAAAAGCTTCTCAGATCATGATTTCATGTGATATGGACCCAAAAACAATCGGTGCACACATCAGTATACACACAGACACACACAGACATACAAACACATATAATTGACCTTGACCTAACTTGACCTGAAATGACCTCAGCAGCAAAATTATGGTCGGATAGTGTGACAAAGAGGTTCTAGCTGGCTTGGCACCAGAAAACAGCATCGTCATCGGTATTTGACAAGCAGCGCACTTGATATCCAACGGTGACCCAAAACAGCAACATTTTTTAGTTTGACCTGACCTGGAAGGTCAATGACTGACCTGAGAAGGTAAAACTGGGTATCATTGGATTAGTCTCTTCCCAAAGAATCTTTTTGGTCTTTACTGCTAAGCTCTATCTCCAACAGGAACGAAATGGCGCGGGGGGGGTGGCAACCCCCCCCCCATGTGCGTTCTAGGATGGGAAAATGGCATGTGCGGGCGAGGGTTAAACGTCAATCGCCCGTCGCGCTTCGAACCCGGACTGTTATAACCGGAAACGCGTGCTCTCACCACCCGGAGTCCAACGCTCTACCGACTGAGCTACGGGACCGGCAAATCGGTACTTATAGAACCATTAATACTCTTTAAAATGGACATGGAATACACAACTTCAAGACAAGAAGCGGGCAGTATGCAAACTGCCCAAGTTTTTGGGCGGTATGCATACTGCCCAAGGGGCCGGGTAGTATGCATACTACCCGGGCGGTATGCATACTGCCCGGGCTGTTGGGTAGTTTGCATACTGCCCGGGTAGTTTGCATACTGCCCAAGTTAGCATATGACCCGTAACACACACACACACACATATATATATATATATATATATATATATATATATATATATATATATATATATATATATATATATATATATATATATATATATATATATATATATATATATATATATATATATATATATATATATATATATATATATATATATATATATATATATATATATATATATATATATATATATATATATATATATATATATGTTTTTTTGCATGTGATGTTGAAAGCCAGAGCATATTTGCATTTGATTCGTTTCTTTTCAGTTTGTTCTATATGTCGAATAAGCGTCTTGGTTTCGTTCGGAAGTCGATATATTATATCACCTAATGACATATTGCCTAACCGGTTTCAACGATCATTCAACTTTTTGAAGGTGGGAAGGTACCTTTAATGAGCACCGTTATATCTATCAGTTAAACAGTAAAACTTAAATAAACGGGCATCATTTCAATGATAGGGAACGTAAACGTCATTGACAATATATGCATCAGCTCGGACTATCGAAACAGGCTAATCGAGCTAAACAAACTACTTAATGCGAATCGGGTTAATGCGAACTTGGAACTGTTCAGTATTTAGTAAATAATGCTATTTAAATGTTATTCAACTTTTATCTTTGTCCCGTAACCTGCATTTTGGAAAGGATTATCAATAGACAGGTGTGATATATTATAGTGCATGTATGGCCTAAACTTTAGAAGACCCATGACTAAGCAATAAATGCGAAACGTTGGGTAATTTCTGCGTTTCCCCCCCCCCTTTTAAGATAAATTCAAAAGT